ACACACACACACACACACACACACACACACTGTAACTGTTTTTTGGGGCTAGTTGGTATCTACACTAAACACTGTATTTACCTTGTAGGCCTGACACAATTTCCACCACATCTTCATACACCATCAGAGTAGCAGCTCTTTCTGGGAGCAGGTCCAGGCTGATGGAGGAAAACACTGGAACACAAGCAGAACCACACACTTAACACACATGCACACACTGCATCAACTGACCACAACCATTCACAATCAGATAAGAAACAAATTGTTATCTACCTGGCGAGAGAGAGAGAGGAATCACTATCAGACATAACAAGTCATTAAACCATCTTTATGCATTTTTAATAGACCAGCTTTCATCCTGTCTGCTGTGCGGGACACAAGTCTGACCCAGCAAACTGCATTTCTTTCCTCTCCCTTCCTTCCTTTCACTCCTCCATTGTTCAGAGCTGGTAAGCGTGATAATCCAATTGGCCGCCGTTCCGTTGGCTTATGATAACCCCCCTACTTGAGTGCCCCCTCCCGACTGCAACATACACACACGCACACACACACAGACAGACAGACACATACACACAGACAGACACACACACTGTACTCAAGCCTCGTGGGAGGTACTCTGTATGTGAGAGTGTGTGTCCGTGAAAGGGAAGCTTAAGCATCCCCCTTGCTGGGTTTTGGCATCTATTGTAATAAATTAGTAATGGAGCAGTCCACTTATCATTAACTCCAACACCTGGCACAAACTCGCACAATTTTGATTTCACTTTCAAACTCACACACACATATACATTTACACAGAGAGGACAGAACACATGGAAATCAATAACCTGCAAGCCAGCATGGCCAGTCTGAATGTGGGTATTTCATAACATCCCCTCTGTGTCTGTCCTAAAATATCCTTCAAACTCTCTCTCACTCACAAACATAGAAAGACATTAACACACAGACACACACACACAAACCTACCAGGTAATCTAGAGGGAGTCCAGGGCACAGAGTTTGGCACATATCCCTGTTTAGTTGCAGTGACGACGAGTGGTGTCCCAAGGCGATAGGGGAAGCGCAGGTAGGTGTTGCCATCAGCTGATGAGGTTTCCGTGGTTACAGACGTGTGGTTGGCGAAGAGCTGAATGGTGGCTCCTCCCAGGGGCTGGTGAGTGCTGGCATCGCTCAGGTGAACTTTCAGAGTCACTTCTGTGAACAAACAGAGCGTTTACTGAGCCACGTATACAGAATTTGTTTTTGCTGGCGAGGAGAGGGAAAAACACTGCAGATAAATTCAGAACCACCATGACAGGAAGTGATGTGTACACATAAAACACAGCGGTGTTATAATAACAGTCATCTTTTTAACTGGGTTCAGTTTTGGTGCCAGACCCTTTGCCTTCAAATCCACAGATACGACATTCCACATCCCGGGCCAATCACAAATAGACGGCCATCTGAACATTTCCTGGACTCTTGCCCATGGCACTTCCCCTCTAAAACAATGAGCCATATCCCTCTGTCAAAGAAGCCTTGGACCAGAGAGGAAAAACAACTGTACATCACGACACCTTCTATAATAGAGATGAGGAAAATAAAATCTATCACAGATTGCCTGTTGATTGAAAACGGCTCACAAAGGAGCTGTGAACTACATTCATTACAAAAAACTGACTGAACAAATTGTTTGTTAGATGTGCAACAAACGCACTATGATGCACTGATAAATGATGAAGGATTTGCTGCTTTCTTTGTTATGTGACAGTAAACTGGTAAAATATTCTAGTAAAAATATATTTGGGCTGTTCCAGTCGGAATGAATCACTGCAGGCTGCAGGAAAATATAACAGGCATTAAATCTGTTCTCTAACATTTTAGACAAAACACAAAAATAATTTCTAGTTCTAACGGAAGTTTAAAAAAAAACGTAACATGTCAAGAACTCATCTTACAATTGCACACCTCTCTCACTTTGATCTGTTTGCACACAGACCTACAAAGAAGCTATGGGGCTAAACAATACATTAGAGGTCTTATTTTAACTGTAAACTGTGAACAGGACACATTAGGTATTTAATAGGAAACACTGCTGCATATTTTGATTGAATTTCAAGAAGAATTTTAAGGTGTTTATTTAAAGCACGTGCCAGCAAAATTGTGACCTTCACTCTGCTTCTGTTGATCTTCACCTTGGAATTTAAAAACAGCACTGGGCATTCCTCTCATCTTTTATTAAAAGACAGAAGAAGAGCAAAGAGATGCATGAACAGAACCAGACTTCACAGTGGTCACAGAATATGGTTCAATACAATAGCTGCAGCCAAGGAAAAGGAGGCAGACACACTGTTTTTAAATAAAATGTTTACTCTACTTTGTGTATTCTGCATAATTACATGTCATATTCTGATTTGTTTGTAGTTTCAGACACTATTAATGTTTTCAGGTAGGTTGTATTCAATCACTCTAAATCAACTGTTATCCTTCCAAATATTTTACTCTCAGAATAGTTTGTGACTGCCCAAAATTGCAGTGTAAGGCGGTTCTAATTGCCATGCCAAACAATACTACATGCTGTATTTATTATATGTTTTTCTCATACAAACATCTACTAACCACCCTGCAAAGCTAAAAGTAGTTTTGTTAAGAATGGATGCTCATCACAAGCTGAAAAACAAACAAACTATCTATTTCAGCTTCATATCCCAAAGGTATGATAAAAAAACAATTGTGGTACAAAAACATTATTATTTAAAAAAAAAAACTAAGACCCATGCCATTTCTCTGTTTCTGGACACATGACATTTGTGGGCCCCGTTTATGATTGACTGCTGCCTGACCCATGGTGACCTTTCAATTAAGGCTGAAAGAGTAGTCACCTCCATCTCCCTTGACCTAAACATACCCACCTCCCCCATACTCAATGAATTTGGTTGTACCTCTTTCTTGTAACCCCACCCTCCATGACACACGCGCTAACACATACATACCGCTGGCAAGGCTAATCCCCTTCCCCCCACTCAGAGATCCTGTGGTAAGCGAGGAAGCACTCTGACAAAATCTGGTGAGAGTTCAGCCCGAGTGCAGGCTCCACCTAAAAAACAGAGCGGTGCACAAAATGATACCTTTGCCTGGCTGGAAGTAATGTTGTGTTTTGTAGGCAGTGAGGTTTGGCGAAGGAACATGTCGGCCGCAAACACAACACATCATTACCCTAAAAGGTCTGGTGTAAAGATGCCCTCTGACCCCTCTCTTCATTCCTCCTCTTTATTACAGTCATAGCAGAGAAAACTAAAGCTGGATTTCCCCTTGACAGAAACTCCCCACTGCATTAGGATTTGGTGTGTGTGCTGGAGAGACCCTGACCTCACTTCCTGTCCCACTCCCACTGATATGTTCTTAGGGGTACCAGCTGTGCTCACTTTAGAAGAACTCCCCTGGGAGACTCCAGACATGCACACTCAAATGCAATAGTCCCCTCCCAGTCCTCATCCAATAAATCAGTACTGTGGTGACATCATTGTTAAACAAGCTCAGAGTCTTCTCTCTGCTCCGACACACTGGAGAGAAGATGGTTGGCCTGAATAACAATGAAATACTTTTCTGCAGCTAAACCAGTAACTCCACTGCTGCTTCTCACTATTTTGAACCTTATCTGTGCGATTGTTAGTACCATATGGAGGATAAAGGCATCAAAGAGAGTTCAGCCTGACCGACGCTGCAATCTCAGACCAATTATCTCACACAACAGCAGTCAAAGCAGCAGGGTGGTTGTGTGTTTGTATGAGAGTAGAAATCCACCAAGAGGAGGAAGCAGTGAGGAAAAATAACCTGTGTGTGTATGTTATCTCCAGTTTGAATTAATTCATGGTCAGTGTATAAATCAGATGATACACAGAGAAGAAGCGTTCCTGCCTCGTGTAAGTGAGCTGTGATAAACTGGAAATGCATGGTATGGCCGGCCTCCACTGGGTGTGTGAAGGGCTTTGGTGTTCTTCCAAACAGAGGAGGGGGAGACAGATGCTTTCTGCGCACAAGGCTAAGTGGTTAGCTTGCTTGTACACAACACTTAGCATTAAAGTTGTACTTCAACTCGTGCTCGCTGCTTATTTAAGTCAGTTACAAATTAATTGAGGTCAAAGTGATGCCAGTGAAGAAATGAAAGGTTCATAATGAAATTAATCAAACACATTGTTTACAAGCTGTAGAAGAAGAAAGGTGATTTTTTTTTGTTTGCTAGAAGATTTAAATTATACCATCATAATAAATCATATGACAACAATATTATATATGGGATAGCTAATAAACTCACACAGAAGGAGAATTAGTGAAGCAGGGCCTTGTAGAACTGTCTCAGAGAACCGTCAGAGCAGATTACTAATGTGGCACAAGATACTGAAACAACACTAGAGGACACAGCAAAAAATGTCCAGAAGTTTTAGCTCTTAATTACACAGATATGTCCAACAGCCTGTGCAATTTGGAGCTAATAATAATGGACATTACAGAGTTTTTAAGAAGTTGGGAAAGTGAAAATATGAAATAAACTGACAGGAATCTGAGTTTCTTAGAAAGATTAACAAAAACAATTTCAAGTGTTCGACACTTTGAACAGCCCTACATTATAAATCTGCTTAGTATTATGTAAATACTCTTTTGGTTTTCCCTTTATGCTGCATATTGATTTAATTAAATGCTTTCAATTTTAATTGGATTGAAAATCCCTTTGTTTTAATTCCAAACTAAAACAAAACAGTGAATGCTATAAAATTTCCTCGATTCAGCAGTTACTCCCAAGTGCCAGATTTGATGATTAGAAATACATTGCATGCGAGGTTGTGGAAAATATCACAGAGATTAACAACTGAGTACCAGTTAAGTTTTAGTTAATTGTGACGAAGGTTTTGAATAAAATTATCTGGAAAACACAGGACCTGTAAAATGAAGCATTACTAAAGAGTGTGACAGCAAAAGAGGCAATTTCACCATCTGAGGCCGCAACACATGGTCGAGCACGAGAGGAGCCAGAAATCATGTGACAAGGAAACAGACAAACTGCACCGGTGGAGTCTGGAATAAAGTAACACTAGAGAGTTGTTCTGGTAATGAAGTAAACCAATAACAAAACTATCCACAAATTATTTTACCATCCCACAACCTGCAATTTATTATGATCAATTAGATCAACCAGTATCAGCTAGCTGGTATCGGACTATCACAGATATATTGACATATGTTGTCCAACCTTCCAATGCAGTCATTTACAAATAGTGTCCTCATATAGTATATCTAGCAGCACACGCTCAGACCCCACTGTTTACAATTCTGTCTGCAGCACATGAAGCACAGTACACATCACAGAGCAGACAGCGGTGCAGAGTCAAGCCATGTCTTCACAGCTAATTGCTTACTAGTGTGTGAAATACATTATTGGAAAGTTAATGACAACCTCATTATTTCCATTATCTAAAATCATTTATCTACAGAGCATATACAGTACAATCAGCCCTGAGATTGGAGGATGGATCGGGCACTAAAGACAGCATGATCCATCCCTGCTGTCGAACAACCAATCAATTCATCATTTTGAGCACCACAAAAACAAAACAATCCAGTTCAGCGTTCATCATTATGAGAACTACAATCACGCATGCCTTTTAAACCTTAGGCGCCAACAGTCTGTTGTTTATGCTTCTGGATTTAATAACTCGTTCAGCCGCAGAAAAAGCAAACACAATGACTGGAGCTGTTTGTTTACCATTCATATGACTAACAAACGTCGAATTTTCAATGTGTCGATTTGACGAATACAAATAGATATGACTAGAATAGACATGGCGAATGAATCACCAGCAGGAACAAGGGACGCAACTCCTGAACGTGTCACAGCAAGAAACAGGCGCACAGACAAAATGAGGAAAAATTAAAGAAGACACACAACTGTCTGTTAAAGCGCTGCCAATCACAATGAATATCAATAGCTATCAATAGCTGTCCGGCCTGCTATTTTCCCTCACCTGGATTAAAAGTAAGATTAGATAGCAGTGGTCAATTCCATTAACTCAGCAGGGGAGTCGGCAATTAGGTTACATCACCAGGCTTAAGAGCAAATGGACGCTCTTCATCTTACCTCAGGTAACCCCCGTCTAAATACGGCTCTATTTAACATTAGTGGTTCTGCTCTTTGGCTAAGGAGCAAGTGGACACGGCCCCTGAGCTCAGTGCCTTCTCGTGACCTGATGTATCCTTGGCAAAGCGGGCTGCTGTTAGCGCTCACACCAGCATCTCATGATTAAAATCAAGCCAGGCTAGCTGATGACAATATGATTTGATTGGTCTGCTTCCCAGCAGCCCTTGCACAGCTTCAGCAAATGTTTGCCTGTTGGAGAGGCAACGCCATGCCTATTATGGGCAGCAGTAATGTGAGTGAGATCTATATCTGCGGGTAGATTGTCTGTCTGGCTCCAGTCATCCATACAGTCTGCTGGACAGTCCAGGAGAAATCCTCGGTATCGACCCCAACACACCCCCTTTCTCTTGGGAACAAGTGAAGGTCACTCTGGGGCAATCAAGGGGAGCGGAGAGAAAGAAATGGAAAACAAGGGGCACGCTGAGGCCAGGACGGACTTCAAAACATTGTAATCTCGTGAATTCTCAATAAATCATACCTTGTTTTCTTCTACATCACACAGAGGTTCTGTTGTGTATTTAGCTGATTATCATGCCTGATGACAAGCCTCAAGACATTAACTATTTCAAAAAGTCATGAACTTCTTATAAATTATAAAACTAATTAAGGGACTAATTTAACTAAGTTACCAAGTTCATTTTAGAGACAATAGGGGCTCATTGTTGTATTTTCCAACTCTGGCAGTGACTCCATGTTTACATTCATACTCTCACTGTAAACACAGTTGTGGCGCGAGGACAGAATGTGGGCCGGCACAAAAGGGAAGGCGAGCACAGACGGCCGAGTATGAGAGCTTGTAACTGAGAGATAAAAGTGATGGATAAAACAGATGTGGTTCCACTTTAGCTGCTCCTCTCGACAGAGTCGTCTTTGAAGCAACTGACTGAAGGAGATTCCTGCAGATTATCCTGATTCGTGGTGGCTATGAAACGCTGCATGTGTCTGCTGCTGCGGTGACGGGATACCCTCTGAAAACAGATCTGTTCAGATGTTCAAAAGTTGGTGTGCAGACCTCACAAAGTGGAAGATAATATGTCCTGGATAATATGTTACTCAATTTTTTTTTTTTTTTTACTTAAGTTGCGTCAAGACAAGTAGTTACTATGTTAAGTGCATTTTATAGTTGAAACGTATTTTTATAAGCAATTGCACATTGTTTGTCGCTCAAATTCTATATGAACAAAAGTGACACCAACAATTCATTTGTGATGCATAAATAACCAAACATTGCCTCTCTGAAATTGCTTTAAGTTGGTTTAAACAATGTTAAGATATCAGATATGTGGAACATTATGGCAAGCAAATGGTGACTTTTTATAAATCAGATGATCCAACAAAAGATGATAGAAAATAATAATTTGCTGCCACTGTACCAATTATAATACTCACAAATATAATACTCACAAATTTTTCTTATAAAATGTCACATTATTGTTTCATTTCAGTTTAAAGACTCAGTTTGAGATGGATGAGGTTTTAAACTCGTCTTTATTTGCAGAGATTAAAAACAGAATTTTTTTTTTTTTTTTTAAATGTGAGGTAGCTCAATTATGTGTTACACCTCCTCACTGTGCACAACTTATGAGCAAGATATCAACATATATTGAACTTATGTTTTATTGCTATTGATAACATTTGTATTGCTCTACTTGGTTGGTATTTATCCATCCACTTTCACAGATTGTGGTTTGAACCAGACTCTTCTGCCATCAGGGCCCTCAGCTGTGGAACAACCTACCTGAGGAGATAAGGCTCGCAGAGTCAGTGATTTCTATTAAATCAACTATTTACAACCCATTTTTAAAGACTTGCTTTCAAGTGATGTTGTGTTTTTATCGTCTTCACCTTTTCATTCTACTATTTTTTATTGGCACATTGCTGCTTTTAGTTTTCATGCGACAGAGCTCAACATTTATTCATTTAATTTGAGCACCACCTAAACGTGGAAGTCTGGCCTCCTCGTCACATTGCATCCTGCTGATTGTTATTTCTCTTACATTTACTTTTCTTGCTTTGCTGTCAAATCACATTGTAAACTCTGTTTTTTAAAGAAGTGCTTTATAAATCAAGTTTATTATTAGTAGTTTTACTATTATTATTAAAAACCACCTTGAATCCCAAATCAAGTGAACATGTCAAACGGTGCAAGCTCTGCAGACTGGATGAAGTGATATATGTTCTGTAGATCAGTGATGCTAGATAGATAGAAAGAGAGAGAGAGAAAGTGTTTTCTGAAAGATAAGGACAACAAAAAAAAAGACAAATCCCAGCAGCTGGACTCTGCTGCTCCTCAACAACAGATGTTCTCCCCCACCAGCAACACATTCAACTACAGTTTCTAACCCAACAACACATATTGTTTTAAATATCCCCCAGATGTAAGAAACCAGATTTATATTCAAACACTTGAGAGGTGGTGAAGTTCTCCTGCTCCCTCTGTGTGTGTGTGTGTAGCTAACTCGCTAACGCTAAGCTAAGTTCAGGTCACATCAGCATCCCAGGAGCTAGCGGCACCATTAGCCGCCGCTAACAGCCGCTAACCAGCTCCTTTCCCCCGGACAACGTGTGCAAACGCAGTCCTACCTTCCGTGGCCGTGTCCTCCGGTAGTGTTTTGGCTGCAGCTTCGGAGGCGAGGTATCCCAAAAGGCAGAGAACAACCGCGGCTCCGGCGCCGCTCCGGTCCACAGCCCGCATCGCTGCAGATGTGTGTGTGAACGCAGGTTAAATGAAAAAAAACAAAAAAACAAAGTAGAAACCAAATCTTCGGCTTTTTTCCAAACTCACTGTCCGGACACATGAGCGCACACACGGTTTATTCCATGAAGGAGGTCCCGCTCCATGTCCGGCAGCCGCAGCGTTCCTGGGTGTTTCACGCCGGGGAAGAGCGCAGTGTGCTCGGTGCTGTCGTGCATCACCAGCCCTTTGGCCGCTCGGTGGATTTTTTCATCGACTGTCCAGAGTCATGGAGGAGGACGGCCCCGCTCCTCTGAGCCTCAGGCCCCAGAAACAGCACCGACAGGCGGCTTCCTCCACACGCAGCACCGCTGACATCCACGGACCCCCAGCGCCACCTGCCGGCCAGAGGAACGTTTTTTGATTAACAGACTAGGAAGAAACCCATAAACTTGATTAATATTTTATATATAATAATAATCATCACATAATAACGGCATCAGTAAGTAATAATAAGTAAAATGCAATGTTAAAAAGTGAGTAGAACATGAGTGAATTTCCATTTTTGGGTGAACTATCCCTTTAACAAAGAGCCTGCTGGTTAGACAAACCTGTCTGTGAAGGGTTAGTCTCTTGGTAGACCTGCCTCCCTTTGGAGAGTGTCCTCTCTGTGGGGCCATCAGCTTTCAACACATTACTTCCTGTGGTTGATTTGTTTATCACGTGATCCGCTACATGTGATTGTGATGGAAGGCGTTTACAGGAAAAACAGGAATAAAGATTTTGCTTCAACAATGGTGTTCTCCTTCTCAGACATGAGGCGCTCCGCTCTTCTGATCCTGACACTCAACATCTTCTGCACCTGTTCTCAAAGTAAGAATGAATGTACTGCTCTGTTCTCACAAGATTCATTGTAGAGTTGTGGAAACATTAATTGCTAAGGGTTTATTTTAAGCTTTTGTTATAAATAAAAATAGCTTTGAAGACGAAGCCACCTTAGACAGAGTCTACACCATAGCTTTTTCTAGTAATAACTTTATACCAATACTTTTCTTCATTCTCACTTTCTTTTTCAGTTGCCCATGAAGCTATCACTATTGTGGGCTGCTTTGAAAATGGTACCAGTGAGGTGCAGGAAGAAGTTGATGGTGAAGAGCTTGTATACGTAGATTTTGACAGACAGGAGTTTGTGTACACCGTGCCCACATCTATCTTGTTGGACCCAAGAGCAATATTTGGTGACATAACTGTATTTAAAGGTGTCAAGAAAGCAGAGCAAATGTGTCATATAGTTCTTAAATACTGCAAAGGAGAGGAGAAAGATCCACCAGAAAACAAAGGTAAGGAATAGACTGCGTGAAAAAAGGTAGATTAACATTGATCTTTTTAATGACGGGATCCAGAAAAATGCTGATTTTCTTTGTTTTGAACCCACTAAAGATCCCCCTGAGACTCTGATCTACTCTGCAGAGGAAGCTCAGTTGGGGGTTGAAAACAGCCTCATCTGCTTCGTGAATAATTTTTTCCCACCTTACATCGAAGTCAGCTGGACTAAAAATGGTCGTCCGGTGTCGGAGGGGGTGTCACTCAGTCGATATTATCCCAATAAGGATCAGACCTTCTACCAGTTCTCCACCTTGATGTTCACACCGAGCGAGGGGGACATTTACAGTTGCACTGTGGAGCACTTGACCCTGGAGAGGCCTAAAACAAGAATATGGGGTGACTGTGCAATCTTGTATAAAAGTGATGAAAATATTTGCTCGAAATCACTTCCTTGTGTCTGAAATGATCCATATTTTCTTTCTTTCTTTTACAGAAGTTGATTTTACTCATCAAAGTCATGGACCAGATGTTTTCTGTGGAGTTGGTCTGAGTCTTGGCTTATTGGGGGTAGCAGCTGGTACATTTCTGTTTGTCAAAGGACACCATGGAAACTAATTTCTCATTCTTAAAGATACATTTATCTCACTGTATATCTCTATGCCAGTATATTTCAGAGGGTAATATTAAGAGTTTTACACCAGTACATTTATCTGATAACTTAAACTTATTTTACATCTTAAACTCTACATGCAAATATGTGATGAACTCATAAAATATTATTCATTGTTAGTGATGAAATTCCCCAACAGTATATACAGTTGTTTAATTTAACTTCTCCTAGACTAGCTACAAAATATTGAGTCAGTTTATACAGATCCAAGGGCAGAAATATACCGTAGATCATCAGAAACTGAATTTTAATAATTTATGCTCAAAGTAGAACTGCTCAACTCAAAACTACATAAAAAACCTGAATTTGAATCCCATCATTTGAATTTATATTGTTTAAGATTATTTATTGCATCAAAAGTGAGTGAGTGTGTATTTGCATTATTTGAAAATGTATTCGTTTATTCCGATAAACTTTATGTAACAATGTGAGATTTAATTAATTTGTCTGGGTTTTTTCTTTCACACACTTCCACATTCAGTTCTCACAATTTAAATGTACTTTTATGATACAATCATTCAGTTCAAATGAGGTAGTAGTGGAAATTTACACTAGTTCTCAGTTCTCTGAACCTGAAAGACATGCAGATGTGGACAAGGATCAATGAGAATGAGGGAAATTGTCAAAAACACACAATAGGTGCTGAGTGACTGTGTTAAATTTCCTAAATACGATACAAAAAAGTCCATACTTCTATTTTTCCCTTCCAGCACAAATGATCCTTCACCAGGGTCATTCTGTGGAATTATAGTGGGTTTTGATATTATCCACTGTGTGTCATTTTAAAAAAAATACTGATTTCAAACATTGTATTGTCAGTATTTCAAATAAATAAATAGAGTGCCTTTAGAATGAATTGACTAATCTATCAATACTAAGATCAAATAATAAATCAATCAATAATCAACAGAACATTGGACAAAACAAGTGGTGTTACTACCCAACATGTTTGTACATAAATACCATAGATACATGAAAACAGGTGGCTCCATGTGCACCACACCTGTTTACAGAAAATGCACATTGGGCAGTCTCTGTGCAGCAATTTCACTTCCTCATTTCTCTAGTGTAAAACTGGAATATACTTCCCTCTCAGTCTTTTTAAGATTTGATACCATGCATGTGCGAAGCCTCTCTTCACTGCTCGGCTTATTCCTGTTGTTTCTAAGAGCTGGTGAGTAACATTGAGTTTATTAAGGTTTAGTTGTGTTGTTGTTCAAAGCTAAATATTGACATGATAGATACAAATCTTCAACTGCTATAAAGTGTTCAGGGAAATGAAGAGAAGTTGACCTCATTATACTGAAATGGCTCCAGCAGTAGTTGAACTTCATGTTTTCTGCAGGTTATTGAGCTGTTTAA